TGTAGACTATGAGACTCTAAGCAATACCCTGACAAATAAGTTTTTGGACAAGGGATACAATCCTAATCTGATAGAGAAGGCTTTTGACAAACATCGGGTCCACACCTCTAAGAAAATACACAATAGCAGTGATTCTTATAACATCAACTTCTGTACCCAATTTAATGATGGGGCCTTTCAGATCTCTAAGATTCTGAAAAATCATTGGCGCATTCTGAGAGAAGATCCCGTTCTAAAAGAACTCTCTCCCCAGTCTTCCTAAAGTCATCTTCAAGAAACCCAAAGACCTCCGTAGTAGAATAGCCCCCAGCAGACTTAAGTCGAACAGAACATTGAACTCTGGCAAAGGTATCTTTGGCCAAACAGGGTGTTTCAAGTGCAACGTACACAATTGTGGAACATGCGCTTATCTCTGGCACAGAAAAAAGGACATCTCCCTCCCAGGGAGAAAGAGTTTTCCCATCAAACAGTTCATCAACTGCTCAACACAGTTTGTCATCTATTGCATTATCTGCCCGTGGCAAATTATATGTGGGACGCACAATCAGAACTCTGAGGACCAGATTTGGGGAGCACAAGAGGAAGATCCTCAAAAAAGCAGATGATCACTCAGTACCTAGACATTTCCTAGAGACGCACAGTTCGAATCCAGAAGGACTTAGGGTATTCGGCATAGAGACCATACCAGATAATTTGGACGAAGGTCTAAGATACAAAAGATTATGCCAGAGAAAAACCTTCTGGATATACTCTCTGAACAGCCTACACCCCTGTGGTCTCAACGAGGGTTTAGAGCTAGTGTCCTCCCTTTAAATCTTCTCCCAATTGCTCCTTCTTCCTTCCCTCCCTAGTGCAGTTCACAACCTCTCCTGCCATCATCATCCCCATAGTTACTCTGGGCATTTCATTACCATTACTCATCACCATCATTCATTACCGCTACACTGCCATCTCTAGTGATTATGCCCGTTTTATCCCACCCTATCCCTTCCCCAAGGGATACTTTGTGTTGGTCCAAATATTGACTGACCACACAGTGGCATAGGTCGCATCATGGCACTAAACCCTCATCATCAGTATGGGGCCAACCAAAGGGTCTCTACCCTCAAAATACATAACTTTATGTATAATTTACATATGGTTGCTATACATGGTTTAGATATATACAATTTAATTAATTTCATTGTCTTTATCAATTTTATGCCTATAGCCATTTTATGCTAATAGCTATTTTATACTTATAACTCTTTTATATGAATTAGATTACGGTTTTTACTCTTTTTTTTGTGGTGAGTCTATATATGTGCGGGGTGGTTTATAGCCATCCAGTTCACCTTCCTCCTATTCATCTCCTGTAGGGGACCGAGCTCCCACATACATGCCTGCACTCAGCGTTTGCTGTCTGCAGACACTTTGCCGTCCTTGGACGCCAGAGATAGTCCGGTATTTGGGCACTGTGATAGGCCGATTGGCGGTGACACCCTGTAGGCGGAGCCCGATTGTTCAGGACCCCCATTGGCTGGTCACATCACCCCGCCTCCACATGGTTTCCCAGACTGATACCAGACTCTGCCGCATTTACATATTATGACGAGCCCTTAGGACACATCTGCCATTGGTCATTAGCACTTTAAAGGCTGAAGGGAGGAAGGTGACGTTACGTTCTGACGAAGGGGGCGTGCCCCAGAAACACGTTAACGTCATCAGCACACAGGAATCTCCAGTGGATGCTCGCTGCCTGTCATCTTATTATCCATCTCATGTTTGTGAGTACGTCTTTGCTTCTATCTTATGTGTACTGAAATAAAATTGACCTGCACCAGGAAAGGCGCCCCCTTGTGTTTTTTCATAGATCCACAGCCAGAATGTGACATCACTCCATTCCAAACACCTCTATAGGACACATGAGGGAGCTGTAAGCAATGCACCTATGGATGGAGCTCTCTCATAGCTCCAGCCCACCTCAAGCTGATACTCAGGGCCAGGCACCATATTCTGAATAGCTGCTTGGCACGAGAACTGACAGTGCTGCGCTAGGGGAAGGCTGAGAAGGCTCTCGCCTAGAAAAGTGGAAGGCATGCCACGAACCACTGAACACGGGTTTGTGACCCACTTTTGGGTCACGACCCACCAGTTGAGAACCAAGGCACTAAAAGATATACTCACCTTATCACTCAGTCCCACCTGGCTGCTAAACCTGTCTCTGCAGCCTCTTCTCCCCCGAGCTCCGGCACCACCGACATCCTCACGTCCAATGCAAGTCGATTGACTTGCATTGGACATGAAGAAGCAGAGGGACATTTTACAGCCAGAATAGAGGAGGAGAGGCATGTGGTCACCACTGCAGGATCGAGGATCAGGTGAATATACCTTCTTTATTTTAGACTAGACCAAAACAAGCACTTAATCTTTGCAGTGCAGGGCGTAGACCCACTGTAAGGGTTAATGTTAAAATGCCCGGAGTTGTTCTTTAGGGATTTCCAATCTTACCTGCCTATCCAGAAGCTGTAGAAAACACAATATTTTAAACCACTACAGCTCCAACCATCACTTCTTTTCAATTACATTCCTGTAAGTGCTTTGCTCATCTGACAGCTTTAAAGAGAACTTGAAATGGCAAGACAGCAGCTTAATTCATCACCCAACAATCACCACCTCCGCTGATCATTTGTCCACCAGCCAAAGCATTTGTTTGAATCCCAGTCACAAGTCACCTGTCACATGCTCAGGCCATTTAGTCAAAGCATATGATATATTAAAAAAATAAAATAAAATCAGGAGAACATCATCTACGAAAACTGCATTTGAAACAGTTACATTCCTTTTCAAGCTATGCCCCATCCACCCCACCACCTTATTGCTCAGCGAGTTTCCTGTAAAAGTTTAACTTTGACCCACCCCTTTTACCTCCCCCATTGCTTAGTACAGCTGTCCATGAAAAGGATGCCCAATAGGGAGGTCTGTTACAAGGAAAAGTGTGTGGGCGGGGGGCGTGATTTTATCTTACAATAAAAACTATATTTTATTTAAAGGATTTGCATTTAACTCCAGCTGTAAATCTGTGGATATACTGATCAATACCTTGTGGTAACTGGTAACTTCAGTTCTGTTTTTATTGCTGTATGTGTGCCAACTGGAGAGGTTTATCACCGTTTCCTCCAATGACCATTGTCACTGGGACTCAAAGTGAGGGAAAAATACACAGGGACAGATGAGAGATCCTGGTAATATCTCCTTCACACACCATACCGATGTACCCCAGAAGCCAACAGGTGCTGGAACAACTGGTGAATGGCACCATAGTATACAAAGAGGACATTCCAAAGCAGAATAGTGTGCAGACAACATATCTTCTAGATGGAAAATTGAGACACTTGCCCGGTGACAGCTGTCTAAGAAGTGATCTTACTTCCTATTGCATCTATAGGAAAGGAAGTGAAGGGAGTGGGAATGGAGATAGCAACCCCTCGGCCTTGACCATCTAAAGTAGGACATTTTTGGCTTTAGATATACTTCAAAACATTGTCCAGGTTAGGAACATGTACAAGATTGCTCTTTAATACACAGCCTGGGCACACTCTACAAAAGCAGTCTAGAATGCATTATCGGTAATGTAAATAATCAAAAACCATTAGATCCTCTAACACTTAACACCTATGACCAGGGTTAATGCAAATATTAAAGTTTATGACAATACATAGAATAGTGTAAATAAAATACAGGAAAGCTGGATGTAGACCAGAGAAATAACAGAACAATTGTATAGAAGACCTTTTACTCCTAATTACCACTAAGACTTCCTACTGCAAGAGATGCATTATTCACAAAGGTCTTGTAAAATATTTATGGATTAATGTGTTACCTTTAGACTTCTGAGGTCTACACATATTTGGGTCAGGAATTGCAAGCAAAATGGAAAAACCTTTATTCTGGCTATTATATACTGATTGTATGTGTATATAAAAAACCACACACTTTTAGTTTTGTTATTTTCATGTTTCATCCTTTATGCTGGCAATATAAAAACACATTGCATATATACAATAGCATGTTAACCTTAAAGCAAACCTCCAGCCATAAACTAGATTAAAATGAACAGCTCATTTAAAGATTTCAAAACTAGTGTTTGCTACAATTGTTAACCTCATTTCAGAGCTTTCCCACCACAGCATTTTTTTTTCTTCACCGTCCTAGACGCTCAAGTCTGAGAGCCAGCATGGTTTTGAAACCTATTTCCTCTGAGCCCAGGTGAACCTGGACCTGCTTCTGCCTGTGACTGGACTGTGAAAGCAGCAACACAGTGATTAGCTCATCTCTGTCACTCTGCTGTCTCATCCTATTACACTACAGCCCCGTACATGGACAGCAAGAGGCCAACTTCATGCCATATCCAGGCACTTACTCCGCTTGCATTAGAAAGCTATATTACATCTTCCTAGATTTTAGCATTAACTATGTGGACGGGGTTATGGGGTTAGATCCAGGGTGTGTTTTGATACAGGACGTGGTTAAAGTGACACTAAAAACTAAAAAGTTAAATCCTAAAAATGCTATTAAGTACTTAATAAAAACAATGCATCTTATGTGTGTATCACTCGGCTGCAGATCCTCAAATCTCTGAATTGGTGCTGACACTGTCTTTCCTTCTGGAGGGTGGCTACTTTTGTTTTCCATGGTCCTTGTGTGTGCTGTAAAGTAGCCACTGCTCCAAGCTCACTTCCGTGATGGACTAAATATAGTTTACTATATGGTATTTAATACAAAGAATTGGTTCTGAGCCACCAGGGAAACCAGGACACTCCTAATATAGTAGAAGCAAAAAAAAAAGGAAGAAAAGTGGGGCTTTTTAGGTGTCATTCTAAGCATGGAACACATATATTGCACATTTGTCTGTTAAAAATTCAATTTATTATACAAATAAATAAATTACACACCCATATCATCTTCCTATATATAGTATAGTCTAAAATCACAAAAGGCTTATGACCTTCCTGGACCACATGGCCACATTCTAGGCATCGGAATTGCAATCATCATGTGCCCTTCTGGAATTGTATTCCAGAATCCTGCTGCACACCTTACTGGGTATCCCCGTCAGCGTGGGTGCTTGAAGTGAACGCGGATGGCGCCACCAATATTGAAACTTGTTAAAGAGGTCACCAGGACACCATATTGAAGAACACATCTCTTTGACACTTCATGTCAAAACAAATAATGTTTTGGGGCCACACAGGGTCCCCTTGAAATGACAACACAGCTAAAGAAAAACCTATCTTCTATAGCTAAATCAAAAGTGCAAATGAACAGAAAACCACTCCCACCAATCCCCCGCGACACGTTCCCACCAAAAACTTTGCAATTTAACATGAGGACAATGTGTATATTATTGGCATAACATTAATAAAAGCATACCTGAAAAACACATTAAACATGATATAGTAAAAATGTTCTAAGACAATAAACATTTTAATTAAAGCCATACTCTTCTGATAAATGAATGTCATGGTTACATGCAAACTAGCCTACAGATGTGTGGTAAGCACTTCACATCTTTCGTCATGTGCTTAGCAAGACAGGATTGGTTGTAGGGAGTCATTGTCACACCCCATCCGCTGCCCATGTGCAGGAGGGACTGACAAAAGTAAAAATGTGTGCAACTCCATAGACAAACCACCTAAAATGATTGACAATATGGTGTGCTGGTAACATTAACATCCTTCTGGAATTGGACACATGAGGACAAGCACAGGAGGAAATCAAAAGACAATGCTCTTGCCATCAATAGTACCACCTACATTGAAAGATTTGCTTTTGATATTGTGCAGTTAAAGAATAGGGATAAATGTGCAAGACACTGAGCGAAGGAGCCATTTAAGTTTTGATGCCCACTCTATCGCAGAGAAAATCTAAACCAATGTGGCAGTAGTGACTGCAACCTACAAGGCACTGGGCCAAATAGCAGCCTGTCTGTGATGCCATAGTTCTACTGTGATGTCACAGGTTGGCACACTCTTGCCCAGCCTTGCTTCACCAGCAGTGGCTCCTGTGGAGGGCAGGAACAAATGAATTATTTTTATCAATACAGGATTTATTTACCGCCAACAGTTTGCGCAGCACTTTACTGGGATTTCCATTCAACTCTATGGAAACAGATCACACCTTTGCAATTTGTCACGCATAAAAAAAAAAAAAAAAAAATTGCCTGTAGGCCAAAA